TAATCTTCAAATGCTATGATTTCAAGGAGGCCCATAAGAAAATAGTGTTGTTCACACACTTTTAAAATGTATGAATAAGCCACACCTTTTTATTGATCTAAAATAGTAGGCCCTCATCTATAAACTGTATGAACCCAAATGAAATTATGCTTTAGACTAATCAAAATTTATGTTTTGTTTAAAAATATGTGAATATAAACGGATTCGTTCCAAAGGGACCTCAATTTAAGTGAGACTCATCACGTTAATGAAAAAAAGTTAATTAATTTAGTGTTTTTTTTTTTTTTTGGGTCAAAAAGGTAGGAGTACAATCAAAACATGAATATTACGGGTGATTATTCAGTATTTTCAGAATATGAACATGAAGTATTTCATAAGGTTTTAATTGGTAAAAAGGGATAGAGGCCCACGATTTATGTTGAGGATGAAAAATCAACATTAGGCTAAATAATTAATGATTTGACTTGAAATATGACCACATAATATTCTGAGATTGTTGAATAATTTCCCGAATATTACAACCAAAATTAATGAAAAAAGTGCAACTTTATGGTATGAATAAACACTGTCATAATCCCATACAAGAATTTATGTACGGAAAATTAGGGATAAATTCTTCCACCCAAGTCTTTGTTAATTTAAGGATATTTCAAAAAAAAAATTCCAAGCTATGTCTCTATGATTTCAAATCTAAGAAGGATAAGAGATAAATTTAATATTTTTGATTAAAAAATATCTTTAAACCCTAAAAAGCAATTAGGGTAAATCACAAATATACCTTTTGAAATTTTTTTAAATTACGAATTGTCTCATGTGATTTGAAAAATTAAAAATATCCAATTGTCAAAATTTTGTATTTAAAAGAATTAACCAAAAAAGTAAAATTCCTAACTGTTCTTCTATACAATGAGTTATTAATTGAAATAAATTTACAACGTCATTAAAAAGTATTAATTGACTTGATAATTTATTAATAAAAACTATTATTTACTATGAAATTATAAATTTCAAGAGGTGGAATATAATTTTTAAAATTATAATAGAACAATCATATTTTCAACAAATCTTAAAGATGTATTTGTAATTTACAGAAGCAAATTATGATCCAATATCTACAACACACTTTATTAACCACAGTGTAGTTAGCCTAGTGGGTGACGATTGGGGCTTGAAGATTTGCTCCCTCCCAGGTCTCAGGTTCAAATCTCCTAGCTAGAAAACGCATAACTTCAGACCACGGACCGCAGGGCATAAACCCTATTTCGGAAGGCTTGTTCGGATTATAAGGACTTAGTCTGGTGCTCATAGGGCTGTAAACGAACCGAACCGAGTCGAGCCGAACTTTGCTGAGCTCGAGCTCGGCTTGTTTACTTATCGAGCTCATTTATTGAGCTCGCACTACAAGGAAAAGCAGTTTTGGCGACTAAAAACCAAATTTTCGTCGCTGAAAGTAGCACAATTGGTGACTAAAAGAGTTTAGTAGCCAAGTGTATAGTTATTGGCGACTAAAAAAAGATTTAGTCGCCAAATGTATGGGTTTTAGCGACGAAAGATTTTTTACTAGCCAAAAGTGACGGTTTTTGGCGACTAAAATAATTTAGTAGCCAAAAGTATAGGTTTTGGCGACTAAAAAACAGTTTGGTCGCCGATTCTACGTGTTTTGGCGACTAAAAACAGTTTGGTCGCTGAAAGTGAAGCTTTTTGGCTACTAAAAAAAATTTCGTAGCTAAAAACAGGCAATTGGCGACTAAAGTTCAGTTTAGTAGCCAAAAGGGGACGTTTTTGGCGACTAAAAACAGGTTTAGTTGCCAAAAATGCTACTTTCAGCCGGAACATATTTTTTTAGCGACTAAAAAATATTTTAGTAGCCTAAAATTACATTATTGGCGACTAAATAATATATTTAGTCGCCAAAAGTGGCTTCAATTTTTCCCCCCTTCCCCACTCTCTCTCTCTCTCTCTCTCTCTCTCAAATCCACAATCCCCCAAAACCACCTTTCCAAACCCACATAACAATACCACTCTCTCTCCCTCCTTGTTTATCCCTCCAACACTCTCTCTCTCATTTTGTGTCTCTGTCTAGTTTGTACTCATTTCTTGTGTAATTCTTGATCTACACAATCATCAATCTGAACAACCTTTGACGACTAAACTATTGGTCGCCAAAAGTATTTGTTTTGGCGAGTAAACAGTTTGGTCAGCGTTCCATCAACTATTGACGACTAAAAGATTAGTCACCAAATGTATAATTTTAAACAGTGGAATTGAGTATTGGCGACCAAAACTTTGGTCACTAAAGACCTGTCTTTTTGCCGACTAAAACCTTTTTAGTCGTCAAAACCTTCTGTGACCATTTATTCACGACAAAACCGGCGACTAAAAAATTTAGTCGGGGAAGGTAAAAAGGCGACTTTTGGCCACTAAAAATGGACCTTTTTAGTCACCAAAGGTGATTTTTCTTGTAGTGTCGAGCTCGACTTGGTTCGACAATTTTTTTATATTATTTAATATATAAATAATGTATTAATTATATAATTTAAATTAAGATAAAAAGCCAAATTTGACAAGTTAAGCTTGTTCATGAACAATTCGATTCATTTACAGCCTTAAATGCGTGTAAGCTAGCTCAAAATACCTACCTAACAAAACACAAAAAAAAAAAAAAAAAAAAAAAAAAAAACACCCTTTGTCTTTTCACTCTCTTCCTTCTCATTCTTTACCGTCTCTCATTGATCGGCGATTTCTCTACAACACTCTCTTTTATCTCTCTCTAGCCGACAAAAAACACCATGTGTGAGCTCCAACCGCCAACAACGACCTGGCTCGCACCTCTTGCACATCCCCCATTTTTGTTCCACATCATTTTCATCTTTGATTAAATTTGCGTAGAAACTTCATATGGTACTGCGAATTTTTCTTTTCATTCACTCGGGACTGCCGTCTTAGATCGGCAAGACCAACATCGCCATCAACGTGTTTATTGCTATCCGTTGAATTCATTTGTTTAAATTTAGTCTCACACCATGCTCTCTCTCTACCTTATCTCCTAGTTAGTCAAATCAGTGAAAAGTAAATTTTTAATACGTTTTAATCAGTGATAGTAATTGATTTTACTCAATGATTTCACTAAGTTTAAGTCACTAATTTTATCAGTTAAATTTTCACTGACTTTTATTCAAATACAGTGAAATTTCAATAAATTTTACTTGAAATTTCAATGAGGTTTAATCAATAATAGTCATTAATTTTATTAAGTAATTTCATTGAGTTAGTCACTAATTTTACTCAGTCAGATTTTATTGAGTGAAAAATTTATCCAAATAATACCAAAAGTCCATTATTATGTCAAGTAACACGAATTTGAGGTCTCATCTTCGAAACCTTCTAAATACAAACAATTTATTGGGTTAGGTTATACGGGGCAATTGTCCTGATTTTATTTGAGTCTTTCATTAATGGACAATGAAATTGATTTATCAAATTAGTTGGTCCAATAAAACCAAATACCGAGTTATGAAAATTTGGAGAAAAAAAACCTAAAATTCAAATAAAAAATCTTTTGTGTGTAATATCTGAGCTCAGATGATTGGTGTCTAAAGCCTCATTTAAAAATGTGTTATTTTAGTAATTTTTTGACTAAAATATGAGGTAAAAAAATTAGTAAGTTTAGAATGATTTTTTTATTTTTTACGGAAATATCTGTAAAAAGTAGAAGAAAAATAAAATATTTAATTTTTTAGTATAAATTATTGTTTTTTTAATAATTTTTTGATTTTTAAATTAAAATATTGAATTGTAAGTTAAACTGGACAAACGGTGATGTAGATAAAATAAATAAACAGTACTAGCAACCTTGACATAATAGAGGCTGACATGTATTTACATCATGCAAGAGTAAAGCTGTGGATAGTGGGACTGTGGTGGGGTGTGGATGGATACCTTTCTTTCTCTCTCTTTCTCTCTCTCTCATCAGTAAACATTCCAAGAGAAGAGAGCATTAATATCTCGCCCTCATCGTCCGCTACGCTACAGAATGCTTACTAGAATGGTTAGAAGAAGGGTGACTTCCACCCACTCATTCCCTCAATCATAACACAGACAACCCCCCTTCCCCACTCTCTCTCTCTCTCTCTCTCTCAAATCCACAATCCCCCAAAACCACCTTTCCAAACCCACATAACAATACCACTCTCTCTCCCTCCTTGTTTATCCCTCCAACACTCTCTCTCTCATTTTGTGTCTCTGTCTAGTTTGTACTCATTTCTTGTGTAATTCTTGATCTACACAATCATCAATCAGTACACTTTTTTTAATTCGTCGAAGAATTTTTCTTTGATCTGAAAGTGGTGATCTAAAATGTCATTGGACATCGCATCCGAGAGCGTTTGTTACGTCCACTGCAACTTCTGCAACACCATTTTAGCGGTATATATTGCTTGTTCCAATTTTTTGTAAACATTCCTTGACCTATGGTCTTCACGGCCTTGTACACAAAAATTGATTCTTTACTCCTTCAATTTTGCTTGGATCATAATTAAAGACCAAAATCACCCGTAAAACCATTTTTTATTATCACTAAGATTTTGGGGGTGATCAATGATCAAGAGAATTATTCATGTAAGCATTTTCCCTAGCTAGATGATAAATAATTGTATAGCATGAAGTTTCTTTCTTAATCTTTATTTTCTTGATGTGTTCTTAAATTACTTCAAGTTAATTAAAAAAATTCTTTTTATTTTTTCATTCAAAAAATAAAATAAAAGTTGTAGGCCGGTTCATAGACTATTCGCTTTTCACAAAATGTTATGGGATCAATGTGGATATCATAATTCTCATAAAATTCTGGCTTACATGCTATATTTTATGTAAATTTTTGGTTAATATTCCATACAAATGAAGGAATGATGACGGGGATGAAAGGTACAAATTAAACATAGCCCAGTGCCCTTAAACTTAAACCCTTGATTATTAGGGTTACATGTACAATTAGGGCTACAGCTTTATATGTGTGTGTGTGTGTTTAGGTCATGGGTGGTACAAGTGAATTAAGCTTTCCTTCTTCTAATTTCATTTCTTATCTTAATCTCTACTGAATTAAGTTCTTGTACTGTTCTTGTTACCTGTGTTGTGGTTTTCCATCTTAATTCAGCAATTATTGTTCATTTATTTCTTTTATTGTTTTTTAAAATATTTGTACTTATGCTCAGAAGAGGTCACAGGTAATTGCACAATTTTCATCATTTCAAAGATCCCATTACCTATCTCTCTCTCCTCTTCATCTCTCTCTTGATCTTGAAGGTGGATTCTCCTGTTCACACTAACCATACCGATATATACACAAGAACTCTGACACAAAATCTTGGCCATAGCAAAAGCTAATTTTTTCTTTCTTTTTCAACATACCTTCATGATAACAAGACTCTTTTGAACAGCCTTTTTGAAGGCATTGCCCTCTTATCTCTCTCCTACACATCTTTTTTTCAAAAATCTAAAAAAAAAAAAAAAAAAAAGAAAAAAGAAAAAGAAAAATTGTGTGAGAGAGTAGTGTGATCTCTCACATACAGTACAAAGAGAGAAAGCAGTAAATCTAGTTCATCATTTCACCTCTCTTTATTCATGGCCTTCTTGGTGAAGGTCATTGTGTGTTTCCTTATTGTCAAGTCGTTATCTTCTTCTCTCTCTCTCTCCTCTGCTAGCTTCTTGTGTCTAGCAGAAAGTCAGGAGCACCGAAAGCAAAGAGATATTGCGCCTATTTTATCGTTTGTGAAGTTCTTATGCTTATCATAAATGGTACGTACCCAAAATAAATAATAAATAAATAAATAACTCAAAACTATAGTGTGTGTATGTATTTTTTTTTTTTTTTTTGAACAGGTGTATGTATGGTTAATATCCATGAATCTCTATCTCAATAAAATAAAATAAAAACCCAAAGAAAAGATACATGTGTATATACTATATACATACGCATGTATGTCGTATGTCTAGAAAAGAAAATACTTCTCGCATGTGAGTAAGCGTAAACATAATTATTTCCCTCTTCATCTTCTTGTTTTCGTACTTCTATTTTGTTCACATTTTCATCCGAGGATGCTTACAAGAAGTTTTCTATTGTTTGAAATCTACAGATTGGATATGCTGATCTATATTTAGATGGTTCATTTACTTTACTAAAATTACTATTCCGGGTTTTGTTGAAATCAAACAAATACAAAAGCACCTATGATTTTTGTTATGTATTTGTTTTGATGGTGATAGTACATAATAAACCCAATTTAGCTAGGTGTTTCTAGGGCTTGATTCAGATCTGATGCTTTGTCATAAGTGTTTTATGGTTTAGAGCATCATAAAACACTGAAATATTTGCTTAACCACATTTTGGCTTCAAGTCCTCAGAAAAAACGAGTACAAATCATCTGTCACATTCTCCGTCTCGTCCTCTGTTCTATACTTATCTCATATTATCATCTCTCCAAAATCAATAAATATGAAAGTATGGAATAGAGAATGGTAAAAGGAGTGAGAGAGATGATCTTACGATTTTGAGCATCATGCAACAATGAAATATGTGCTTATAACCCCACTTTGGCTTCAAGCGAGAAATAACAAACACGGATAATTTGTTTTGTACTCTCTATCTTTTTTCTTTTTTTTTTTTTTTGATCAGTAAAGTAAAAAATTCATTAACAATATGAATTTTTTTTGTTTTGTACTCTCTATCTAGTTCTCTGTTCTATACATATTTCATATTACCATGTCACCAAAATTAATAGTTAAAAATATATTGAATATAGAGAATGGTACAAAAAATGAGACTGATGTATCTATGCCACGAAAAACACAATCTAAGTGTAAATGCCAAAGACCTCTAAATTTACCCTAGGATGTGGACGGTTCTCAATTGCTGATTTGTTTAGGAATTAACCAACTAAGATCCCAACTTGCCAATATGAGTAAATTTAAGAATGAAAGTTTAGGGGTCTTTAGCATCACTCTCTTGTATGTGTGTATATGTCTAGCAAAGCAGTGTGATTCCAAGATATATGGTAAAACATTTAGATTGTATTTGGATTATAAATTTGGATAGGAATTTAAAAAGAGAAATGAGAATTGTTAATAAAATGTAATTATATTTCATTTATATCTCAAATTCTTATCAAAATTCATATAATACAAACACAGCTTTAGAGTAGAGTAGATTGGTCTTATATATTTGATTTGGAGACTTGGGTGAATTGCAGGTTAGTGTTCCATGCAGTAGCATGTTGACAATTGTTACAGTGAGATGTGGGCATTGTGCAAATTTGCTGTCGGTTAATATGGGAGCTTTGCTTCAGACTCTCCCGCATCAAGATCTCCAGGTAATTTATTTAACTTAGAATAATTCTTGTGGTCCCCTCATTAATATTTTTTGAGCTAGTTCCAAGAATAACATATTTTTATATTTTATACTACTGCAAGGCATATATAACACATACAGTCAAAATATAGGATACATCTGTTTCAAACAACTTTTGTTTCTTTCTTCTCAAAAAGGGCAAAAAATAAAAAATAAAAAATTACAGACTTATTTCACATATTTTTCAAGTCATAAACTTGGTGTATATATATATTCTGAATGTCACTCTAACACTCTAATTGGTTTTTGTAGGATGTTTTTGAAATTTTGACATGATATCAAAATTAGGTCTCGCCTAGCCTCACATAGCCTTTTGGGTCTCGCGTTGCTTCTCCCAGTCTCTCTAATTCATTCAAATTTAATCAATCTACTCTAATGGCCCCATAATCAAACTAAATTAGTTTTGGTTGGTGCATCCAAAATCCTAACCGGAAAACTCTATTTGAATTTCATGTTTGTATAACATTGGTCAATCCTAATTTCAAAAAACATTGATCATTCACAAAAATCATTCACAGACTCTTGTGTCTTGTCTATAAACCATTCTATGAATGTAGATCATAACAGCTGTTTAATAACTGATTGACTTGTATTAGTCTTGTTCTTACATTCCCAAATTGCAATAAGCTTTGTGTGTCTGAATGAACTAAAGACTAATGAGACTCACCAATCAGAGCATTTCTCTAGGAAAAGTATGGATTTATTGGTTGTAACATTACATGTTATAATTTTGCTTGGAAGAAGTTGCAGAAACAGCAATTCAGCTTTGAAGATGCAAGTAAGGACAGTGGCTCATCTTCTAAATGCAACAAGTTTGGTGCATTCGAGTCTGCGGAGCATGAGCCTCCTAGAATGCCTCCTGTTCGCCGTGAGCACTCTCTCTCTCTCTCTCTTTCTCTCTCTCTCTCTCTCTCTCTCTCTCTCTCTCTATATATATATATATATATATACACACATATCAAACCACAATAGAACAGTATGTTAAAAACAAATCACAAATACAACAGAAGAGAATTGGGCCCTAGTAGTACTATGATACTAGTAAAGACAGTCTAAATGCATAACCAACTACACAGCAGTTCATTTAAGATGGACACAAATAACTAGACCATGTGTCCAAAATATAATGCACTTGTGTGGTACCATCTCATCCATTGCCATTTGTTCTGAAATGGGTTTTAAAGAACACAAAAAATTATAACAGAAATACTGTGGATAATACCTACTAATAAAAATATTATTTTATGTGGATGTTTTTGCTTTGTATTTAGAATTGTCTCCTAGACAACTATATAATGTTTTATTTTTTATTTTGCTCTGCCTAGAGGTCTCTGCAGATGTTTTGCCTTATATAAATTGGATTTCTTTATTTTTCAATCGTCTTCTCTCCTCCCCTTGTGATGTTCTATTTTTATTTATCAAAAATTAAGATCCATTTAATTTCTCAATTCTGATACAAGGTACTTATTAGAGCAAATAAATACATTTGATCTAATATAATGATTTTGTAGTATCCAGATTAATACCAATCCTAACTATTTCATGAAAAAAATGTGAATAATACACTCAATATTTGTCCAAAGAACACCATAGCTTGAGTCCACAATAATTCTCTTTCATTTGTTACCTTGACTTCTTATCGATAACAAGGGTCAGGTTTCATTTGGCGTGATTGAAAAGCCATTTTGTTAGTTTAAAAACCCAATTTGTAAAAAATAACTTGTTCAGTTTACAAATTTACTTTTTTTTTATTATCATCAAGAAATCTATTTTAATTATTCCAAGAAGGCATTAAACTAACTGCTAGAGAAAGCCTTGATAGAGTTCACCCTTAAGATTACAACCCAGTTACTTATTGAAATTATGAAATCACGGGGGTGTTTAGGATGGGTTAAAATAGCCCATCTCAGATTAAAATAGTTAATAAAATAAATATTTTATTAAATTATTCTTTTTATTTTCTTATACATTTTTTTTATAAAAATTTAAATAATCAATTGAAATAGTCTATTTTTAAATGGACGATGAGATTGATTAGTACTAATTTCAAACACATTATATTGTAACTTGGAGCACTTTGTATTGAAACCGAAAGAGTGGGAATCCCAATAACAGTGATATGTTTCTGAAACATGTCTCCGTCAAGTCCTTTTATACATTTGAGAGAGAGCTCATATCATATACTCTCTCTCTCTCTCTCCAATAATCTTCCTTTCCCTGAGATGAAGGTGTGACTTTTGGTACTAGAGAAATAATGCTGTCATGGCCTTGGTACCTTCTCAAAGTTTCGATCCTATGTGTATTTAAGTGTAACTTGTATATGACCAAGAAATTGCCACTGCTTGTCTTTGAAACTACAAGACAGCCAGGCAAAGCTGCTCATTGCTTATAATATACACACACCAGAAGAGAGACATTCACATGGTATGCTCGAAATTAATTACAAAGATTTATAGTCGTATTTGAATTAACGGTTACAAAACAAAACAAAACAAAAACGAAAAAAAAAAACAAAAACGGTAGGTTAGGAATAATAAAAATTGTGACAAAAAAATCCACACCAAGAACTTTGTAGGCTTTATATAATAATAACTAAAGTGGTGGGCACAAGCAATATATGTGCATATGATCAAAGAAATAAGATTCTAAAATGTATGATTGAATCTAAAATTTAAAAATTAAAATATTTTATCAATTTAAAAAGACCAACCATTGAGGTATTGGAAAGAAAGGAAAAAAAAAAAAAAAATTTGGATTCATAACTCCCATGTAATGGGTGGGGGGAAAAAAACACAAATAAACAAGCTGACTGTAGGGCATAACTACTATTGGGGAATTTTAGAAAAGATCAAAAAATAAGGCATAAACACCAATTATAGGCATTTTTATAACAATAAATAGATATAGGTATTGATATAGATATAAATAGCAGATAGATAATAATAATAATAATAACTACTGGAAGTGGTGACGCATGCCTAGGATAAATTGTCAAGAGCCATATTTGAATTCAAAATTTAAAAATTGAAACAGTTATGAATTGAAAACTGAAAAAAAAAAAAAAAAAAAAAGCCACAAACCTGAAGCAGATAGATTTAAGCAGTTATATGGTAAAAGTACTATTTTGAAAATTTTAAAAGTAGTGACTTTGTACCAATTTAAGAACTGACTTTATATAATATATAGATATAAATATACAACACCACTACGGAGCTCAAAAAATCAAATGCTCGAATGGCTCGAAATCCCAAAACGACGTTGTTTTAGGACTTTTTTTTATTCTCTTACCGGTAAGATAATATTTTCCGTACCATTCAAGCCATTCGAACCTCAATTTTTCGGGCTACGGAGCATTTTTGATAAATATATTGTTCAACTTTCGTACTGATACTTTAGAGAATTGAAAAACAAGACATTTAGGCAAGGAACAATATTACATCCACCGAATTTTGACTCGCCCGAATCATTTGAGAATTGAAAAACAAGATATTTAGGCAAGGAGCAATATTACATCCACCGAATTTTGACTCGCCCGAATCATTTCAATTGTGCATACCAGTCATCTGGCCGATCATCTAACCAATCATTCGGGAATAAGGGTAACAGCCGTCGCTTTTTGACTTTTTGACTTTTTTGGCTATTTTAGTCTGGGCTAAAAAGTTTGGTTTGGGAAGGACTTTTTGACTTGTTTGAGAGAGAATAATGTAATGATTATGGGTTGAATGTGATGTTTTGTTTGTTGTGATTAAAATAGCCTATTTTGTCTTTTGTGGCTATTTTAGCCACAAACCAACTTGCCAAACAACACCTGACAATGGTTGTACCGGTTATCCGTGCAGTCGTCCGGCCGGCCATCTAACTTACAAAATTCGAACGATTCGAGTGAGTTCAGATTCGAAGCATCAATAATTTTTCTTGTCAAGACATGTGGAGGACATTATTTTTAAAATAGTAATTTTTATTGGCTTAGATGTGGATGGAATCTTTAAAGATCTATATTTGGAATACAATTAATGGCTAACTCTGAAGACTTGGAACAATCGGTACTAATTAGAATAAGAAGACAATACAATGCCTACCTAGAACAAACGAGATTGTACATGAGTAAGGTGAAGAACAGCACTGCCCATTTTTAGGAAACTTGTTTGGAAAAGGGTAGTATACACACCTTTGAATGGGGTGTGTACATACTTTAGTTATATTACTTTTTTTTTAATTATAATATTATTTTAGTTATGATTTGTAAAATATTTGATTATGCCTTATATGATATTCGGTTATGACTTTTTTTTTATAATTATGACTCAAAAAGTATAATTTATATCATAGCCTTTCCCATCTTATTTATATAGATCACCATTTTAGAAACTTTTTTACCTTAATTTAGAGGTAATTATCCAATTTGGGTAATAATTTTTCAATTTAATGAATCTTAGGCATTCAAAATTGAAATTGGTTTGAGAATAATTATCTTAGCCGTTATCCCACGGCTGCCATTTTCTTTTTCATTTGTTTTCTTTTCTTTTCCTCTTATATGTATTATATATAATTTAGTATTGCTAAGAAGTGTCTTAAGGTACAAGTAAAAGACAAAATATTTGTAGAACACAATACACTTTTTACTAACTTTAATGCACTTTTATTGAAATTAATATATATTTTAAATATTTTTACATATTTTCAATAGATTTTTTACATACTTCTCAATATTAAATAATGTCTATGGGAAACTTGTTAGCATTTTCCTATATAATTTTAGAGTAGTGCTATAGCAAAAAAAAAAAAAAATCGTACGTCACCACAACAAATAACAGCTTTTGTAACCTCTCCCTATCGAACCAAATGAACCTTTCTTTGATTATCTGACCCTCCCCATAAAAAAGAGGCTTGCAACCTATCCACTGACTTAGCAACACACTCAGACATCTTAAACAAAGAAAGGTAATAAACTGGAAGACTAGACAGAACTGACTTAATCATGGTAACTCTACTAGCATACGACATCACTCTCCTCTTCCATCCTGCAAGCCGTACTTTGATCTTATCCAAAATAGGCTTCCATGTTGATTTTCGACGAGGATTAGCACCCAAAGGTAAGCCAAGATAAACCAGGGGAAGAACATGATAAGAACAATTCAGTCTAACCGCGAAATCCTTAACTAATTGGGTCGAAATTCCAACACCACAAACAACACTTTTTTGAAAATTAATCTTCAGACCTGAAATAATTTCAAAGCATCTAAGAATCCTCTTAATGGTGATAAGTTTACTCCAATCAGCTTCACAAAACAATATAGTATCATCCGCAAATTGTAAATGGGAAACAGCCAAATCATTGGGACCAACGGTAGCACCTCTAACTGATCCAATCTCCTTAGTTCTGGATAACAAAACATTCAAACCCTCTGCTACGATATTGAATAGAAAAGGTGAAAGTGGATCACCTTGCCGAAGACCTTTCTGGGGATTGAACTCCGCTGTAGGAGAACCATTCACCAACACCGATATACCATGAGAGGTCACACATGCTTTAATCCATCCAATCCATCTAGCACCAAAACCAAATTTTTGAAGCATATCAAACAAATATTCCCAATTCACTGTGTCATAAGCCTTCTCAAAGTCCAACTTGAGAATTACACCTTTAGTTTTTGTCTTCTTCCACCAATCTACAATCTCATTTCCTATGAGATTGTAACTAGTTTTTTTTTTTTTTTCTTTATTTTGTTTGTTTGTTTCTGATTGGTTTCTCACCAATCTTGGGTTAGTGCTAGCATATGAATGTGCTTCATTTGCGGTGCCAACCTAGTTGGGATCGTTAAGGTTAGCTATGATGCTTGGTGCACTCTCCCGCTTTGTTGATATAATTTATGCATGTTTTGCTTTTTACATTAATAAAGTTTTTTGCTGTTCAAAAAAAAAAAACAAATAACAGTTTTTAGGATCACATTTTTTTGTCTCCAAAAGTAAAAAATATGTTGCAAAAAGGGCAAATTACACTAATAGTTCTTGTAACTTGGGACTTATGTCACTTTGATTCATGACTTTTCAATTGTGATACATTTAATCTAAATTTTGAATTTTGTTCTAAATAAAAATAATCAAAGATGTTTCCATTGCAAATGATTCATTTCAAGAGCAAAGTTACCATATAACTTATTTTGTATTGGTTTACGTGTATGTTATTTAAAATATAATGACCTTTTTTTTAATGAATAATGTTGCAATTTTTTTGGTTATAAGTTCTGTTTGATTTAGCTTTTAGAATCTATTTTCAGAAAATGTTTCTAAGAAACTAAAAATTAAATTGGTGAAAAAAAATAAAAACTCGTCATTTTTATATAATTTTATCTTTTAGGAGAGTAGAAATAATTTTTTTTAATGATTTTTGTTATATTTATTTTTACTAAATTAGTTTCTATTTTTTCAAAAGTAAAATATGGTGACAATTTTGATATCATTATTAAACTAATCAATTAAATCAAAAAATTCAAAACTAAAAATATTTCATATATTAAACACACCGAGTACACATTAAAAGCCCAATAATCATCTATTATTTGATAAGCATCCAAAAATATGTGTTAACAACAAATACAATCATCAATTACATGATAACCATCCAAAACATCAACAAAACCCATTATAGTATCATCATGCAAACAAATAATAAAAATTAATTTAGTAAAAAAATAATAAGATAAAATGTAAAAGATTTATCATTTTTATATAATTTTATATTTGGTGGGTATAAATAATTTTTAAAAATTTCAAAAATAATTTGTTGACATTTGTTTTTGTTAAACTAATTTATATTTTATCAAATTGACGACTTTGTCCTTAAAATTGAGCAACGATGTCTTCAAATATTCTTATTTGGAATAAGATTCAAAATTCATGGCCAAATATATCACAATTGAAAGGTTATGGACCAAAGTAGCACAAGTCCCAAACTACAGAGACCATTATTGTAGTTTGTCTTTGCAAAAAATATTTGAGAATCAATTCCTGCCATTACAAAAATAGTCGTTAAAAAGTCATCCCAAAAATATAAAAAAAAATTTAGCGACAAAATTTTTAAAATATTGCTAATAAATGCACTTTTAAGGACAAAATAATTTGGTCCCAAAAAGGATTAATTTTTTAGACAAAAATTTTGGTCCCAAAAGAATAGTATTTTCATATTCAAATGTCTAATTTTGTCATTAAAAATATAATAATCACACTTTTGGTAATGAAAAAAATTTCGTTCCTAAAAAATTATTTTGTCCATATATTTTGTCTCTAAAACCTTAATTTGTTGTAATGCATAATGGTCTGGCTCATTATGACCATTTCACTTCAAAACAAAATATTATTAAAAATGAATTTATTTACAATAATGACATTATCACATTATTATTGTTAAATTTTTTGTATAAATTTTATATATGTTTAGAATTTTTCATAATTTATTAGAAACTTTCTATTCAATGAACTCCTTTTGTGATGAATCTAATTGAAAACTTGAAAATGCGAAATTATTCAATACTTCTGGAGTGTTGCTCCTTTTCATTTACAGGTTAGACACATTAATAATTATTTCTTATAACTCTAATATAAAAGTAGTGGATCTTATAATTTAGACTAATAATTACTATTTCAAAACACCACCTGGCAATGTTCGAGAAGTAATAAATAATTTTGCCTGGAAAAGAATGTGAATGTCTCTCCCTAATCCCTATGTTCGATTAAGTTGTTTGGAGAGATGACTATTTGGTTTCCAACCCAAATCAAAGTGAGTGAGGCATTTAATGAAAGTATTTTTTTATACTGAGAAACATGATCATTATTTGATGTTAACGATAAAAATAATGTTATATGAATCAATATGTATGTTAATTAATATATTAAAATATATTCAATCATAAAGTTCCTGTCTGAGTTGAGCTTGTGGAACTTATAAAGATTTGAGCTGCAATTTGGGTGAAACAAGCTTCCAACATCTCAGATTATACAATCAATGATTTCATCTTCTCTCTTCAAAGTTTGAAATTTGCTAGAGTTCACCCTCAAAGCTTTGATCTTTTTCTCTTTTTCTATTGTATTACTTTTTTTTTTTTTTGTTTCAGTTGGACTCTCACCAACTTTTGGTTTTTCTTTGATTACATTTGATTGGGCTCTAAAATATGTGTCAACCTAGTTGAAATATATCTTTTAGCTATGATGTAATTTTCCCAGATCTTGTACCCTTTCTAATTTTAATAAAATCTTCTTTGCGATCAAAAAAAAAAAAAAAAAAAAGATAATGTGAGCTCCTAACTCCTCTTTGTTGATGTAAATTATCATAATTTATATGTTTCATCAACAAAGTTTTCTTTTGCCAATCAAAAAAAAAAATTTAAGGTTTTAGGTATTTGTAATTTATATAATGGATGAGTTCATAATTTTTAAATAATAATATCATAATATATGTTGGTACATTAATTAGTATACCAATTAGTGTTGATAAAAAAAAAATTAGTATACCAATTAATGCATGTAGTATCACCATATCAATAAACAATAGATTATTATCATTATATACTATATAAAAATGTGATCATTCATCTGGAGTATAAAGTCTGTAGTCTTGATTCATTAATTTGTAGAAAACTACTAAGTGCAAAGTAGTTGATTGGTTTTAGAAAATAAACAAAGGCTGTCCCTGATTTATCAATAGTATTCATACACAAAATCATTGTTACATTGTATGCCTAAAGGGTTACTAAAATCATGGTTATTTCATGTATGCCATATATATATTTTGTTATTAGAGTATTTTACATCTTCATTCCTTTATGTCTTGAACTGTGCAGCCCCTGAGAAGAGGCAACGTGTTCCTTCTGCCTATAACCGATTCATTAAGTAAGCTACTTTTTGTTAATCCATTTGCTTTGGTGTCAATAAATCTCTCTCTCTCTCTCTCTCTCTCTCTCTCTTTCTACGTGTTGATTAGGCAGAATAGAATTATATTTACAATTATAAGCCTCTTCCATAATTTTGCTACTTTTACAGAGAGGAGATTCAAAGGATAAAGGCTAGTAATCCTGACATTAGTCACCGGGAAGCTTTTAGCACAGCCGCGAAAAATGTAAGTTAAACTAAATGCAAGAAATAAATTAATTACCGCAAGTCCGTAAAATGCACTTACTAACTCCGCTTAACCTTATTCAACAAACACTCCTCCCCCCCCCAAAAAAAAAAAAAAAAAAAAAAAAAAAAACACTCCGGTTAACCTCATGGTTGGTAAATTTCGTTCTTGAATTAGACTTTGTAAGGAGATATAGCCAGCTTACTAGAGGATAAGGCACTATTTTCAAGGTTGTGTCCATCAAAGTTCACTGTTATATAGTTACGTCTTGTATATGTTAAAATGTTGAAACTTCCTAATGGATTGCTTCTTGCTGCCCTAATAAAAGATATGCCTCCTAAACATAAACCCCAAAAAAATAATAAATTCCAATCTATCTAGGAGAATCTAACCTATAATTGAAGTTTTACAATTTCACTCTATATATAGATAAGTCAAAAAAAAAAAAAAAAAAAATGGAATCCAATTTCTCCGTGGACGCGAGGACCAAGTATAGTACTAACTGGATTGTTGTATGAAAATAATAAGATACCTTAAAAAATGCCTCACAGCTAAAAATAAATAAAAATCAAAATTTGAAAATCAAATTCACATATTGAAATATCGAAAATGAAACAAAATGCATATTTTGGGAATTGACAGCATATTTAATCCTAAATAATATCTTGGAATCAAACATCTTATTATTTTCAATTCTGTCAACATATTATTTCTGCTACATTCATCATCATCCGGTGCAACACTTTTTCATGTTTATGGTAAACAAAAGGAAAAAAACAAAACAAAAAAAACAAAAACAAAAACATGTTATTATTATTATTATATATATATATATATGTTCTTCTGTCTTAGATGGAAAAATAAATAAATAAATAAATAACAAAAAAATAAATAAATAAAGAACAAGGATATTTTTATTTTTATTTATTTTTTGTTAATGTGTATGTTGTTTAACAGTGGGCACATTTTCCTCACATCCACTTTGGGCTTAAGCTGGATGGCAACCAGTAAGCAAAGTTGGAGCATTCAAATGCGAGAGAGCGGATTCAAAAACCTAGTGGATTCTATTAAAAAAACAATAGTACGTTGTGAGTAAAATCAGGTTTGTCTATGTATAACACGCGTAAATCTGAGGTTAATTAAGTCTCCTAATCAACTTTTATGTATTTCTCTACTTTACTTGTATGCTGTGAAATAACTGGAATTCAATTTCTTTTTCTTTTGTTTTTTTTTTTCTCACCGGTGATTGCATTTATGTTGAACTTGAAATATTTCAGTAACAATATCTCCATAATAATGCTCATTTGTTTTGTTACATCTCTCCCTTCATGCGTGTGTGTATATATATATCTTTATAGAAGGTAAAGTTTATTTTACACTTTTACACTTTGTATAGTTTTCGACTGTGCTATTTACACAAGGGTGAGATCCATTATGTGAACGAATTATGTACAATTAAATTTATGCATGTCATTTCTCACTTTAGTCTTTGCATTTACAGATGTGATCTAATATCTCATATTAGTACTTACATTATCTCATATTAGTACTTACATTTTATTAATTTTATTATTGTTATTATTATTAGAGAAAATTATACTTAATTTCCCTCGCTTTAGGTTGTTGTCATTTTACCTCATCAATTAAAAATTACTATATTTTGTCCTTTAATCTTCTTATTTATTTTAATGTCAACGTTCTGTTAACTTTCGGTCATCGAAAGGGAGAACCAAAAAAGTAGCATGTGAACTATAGGCTAATCAGCTAAGTTGAGTTGAGTTTTACAATGCTCAAGTTTAGCTTATTCGAGAACAGGTTTTATATATATATATATATATATGGTTGCAGGTTTTATATATATATATATATATATATAGGGTTGCAAATGAACCAAGCCGAGCCAAACTTTGCAGGCTCTAAGCTCGGCTCGTTAATAGTAATCAAGCTCAAGCTTGGTTCAAACTTGATAATGATTTTTTTTTTCTATTATTTATATTATTAAATATATAAATAATTTATTTGTCCTATTAAACATTTTTTACATTAGTCGATAAACCATGAATTTAAAAGTCTAACTCAAGCTCATTTATTGACTTAACAAACTTAGTAGAGCTGAGTTCAAGAATAACTCAGTTCATTTGCTACATATTTTTTGATCAGCAGAAGTAAATCTTTATTGATGAAAGAGTATAGTACAAGTACAAGAACAATTTATATCAATAAAGAAAAATTAATACAAAAAGCATCACGATGAATAAGATCGTCCCAACTAGGAAAACACCAAAAAACTTATCCAATCATATGCTAGCACCCCTTAGCTGGTGAGAAACCAACCAAAGGAACGTAATAGAAAAAGAAACAAGCCACAGATCAGCACAGTGATGACCCAACCGCAATTCCCAACCCTGTTTCTTACATACATCTTCTCACCTGTTGCATATTGAAGACAATATCATTGATAGAAAAAGGGCATCTTGGATCAAATGATTTCCACCAAAAGGCTACCCTTAATTTAATGAGATCACATATTTCCACTAGGTTGGGTTGTATACCAGAAAATATGCATTCATTCCTGCATTTCCAAATTGACCAAATCACAGCTGCAAGAATCACTCTCCAAACTTGTCCTTCCTTCTTTTTAAATTTCCAGCTCAACCACCATTGTAGCAGCCCTTCAATTGACCCTGGGACTACCCATGGCAACCCCCACCAATGAATTATACATGGCCAGATTTTCCATACAAATGGGCAGAAAAGAAGGGTATGATTCAGAGACTCCACTTCCTCTTTACAAAAGACACATGGTAAATCAACATTGCCCCTCAACACTCTAATTGTACTTAGAAAACCAGCTGTCTTTAATCTGCCTTTCCATGCTAACTAGGTGATGAACTTGTATTTGGGTGGAGACAAAGTATTCCAGATTAAACCAGAAGAGCTGGATGTTGTACCATTCAACAATTCACACCATTTATAAGCATTACTCACCTTGAACACACCAGTTCATTTGCTACATATATGTGAAGGATATGAAAATGTCTTCTTTTTTTATCATGAAATTAACAAGTGCTTATATTTTCTCTTTCATATTTCTGCATAGTAGAAGTTTACACATATCTCATATATATTAGTAAATCAGCTCTTGAATAGACATTTTGGTCATAATATATATAGCTCACATACTATTTTATCGCTTTCTTTTCGTAATAGAATATTAATAGAAGATTAAGATTTAAAAAAATTAAAAAATTCTAAATAAAATATAGCAATGAGTGAAGTGATCATCCATAATTGAGGAGTTAAAAGTGTAAATTTTCCTTGTGGGATTGTCAGATGCTAAGTCATGTTGCAGATGATGGATTTTTTATGTTTTTTTTTTTCCTCTAATGGATTTATCAAGTCCAAGTCCATTATTAGATATATCAATAGTTAATTGTGGATAGCATGATAGGGAGGGGAACCGAAAGAGAAAGAGAGAAAAGTGAGAGAAAAGTGAGAGAAAATGAGGGGGAAAAAAGTTAAGAAGAACTTAACTAGAGAATTAAAATACATGAATCCCCACATATTCAACCCACTAAAACACCCAATACAAACTAAATGAACTACCCTACACCCAAACTAAACTAGATTAATATATATATCTTAACCCATAAATTTAACAATAAATTATATTAGCATCTTTTAAAATTTGAAAAAAATACAGTTAACTCTATAAATTTAGCTAAATTACATTGAGCACCAATAAAGTTTTACTTTGCAACTATTAGTCTTTTTTTATGAGAAATTTATTAATCATGTGAATGAAAGAATAGTAATTGTCTTTCTTTTCTTTTCTTTTTTTACACTAAAATAAATATTTTATCTTATTTATCTTTATACCTCACACCATGTATATTAGTTTCAATCTCTTTAAAATTACTAAAAGAGGAATCAGCATAATTATTCTAAAACTATAAGACTACTTATATTTTTTTTCAAATTTTAGAAGAGTTCAATATAATTTACTTTAAATTTAAGAGTAAATAACATTACCTCCTTTGAAATTTGGAGAAAATAATGGATGGTCACTTATTGATGGTCACTTAGTATCTACTTTCCATTTATGCATTAACGAATTATTGATGAAAAAATGACTTGAGTATTATGTAGATCAATCTATTTATGTCAAATCAAATGTAGAGAATTAATTGTATTTTTTTTTAAAATTCAAAAAGGCTCGTATAATTTATCTTAATTTTGGCTATTCCATTATGAAGATGCTCTTGCTAAGTTTGTTTAACTTCACATTCTTCCAAACTAGTATAGTACAACCAGGTAGAGAAGAGAAGTTATTGGTTGATGTCAGCACACTACCTAGTGGTGCCATAAGGATGTTGTAATCGGTAGAAGGGATATGATTCATGATTTTATATTAAGTGATTAGGAAATATAAATATGAGAGTTTGTTATTAGTGAGGAGTATTACCACATGACACTTTAAGAGTATCAAATAATTTTCGATAGAGACAAATAGAGAAAGGGGATTGTAAATGTAATGATATAATGAGAAAAAATTACATTTTACTAAAATAATGATAAAAATATATATTTTTTAATAATGATATAACTTTTTTATGTACATAATACAAATTTATTTATATATTTTATAATATAATTATTTTGTGATTGTTTCATTTATTTATAATTTTTTCATATAATTAAGAGAAAGTGGGGGTGGCATGTGATGGATGGACGGTGTGAAGAGCAGGAAATGTATTGGGAAGTCGCATTCAAGGATTCAGTGCTTTCTATTCATTTTTTAGTCAGATGAAGAAACTGCACACCCGAAACTGTCGAATTTGATGGCATGTTCTGAACTATGAAAAAAACACTCTCCCCAAAAATGTTTTGGGATCTACATCTTATACCCCAATCCCAACAAATAAATTTAAAACAAAAGAGGGAAAAAGAAAAAAAATAAAAAAAAAGACCATTTTAAAATCCTCGCAAAAGATGATTTGACTGTCGAGCTTTGGGATGGGTAAAATTTCTTACTGACATTCTTTGCTACTATTTATTACTGTATAAGAGCATTCATAATGGGATACTTAAAATTATTTATTAAAGTATGTGTTATATGATAAAAAGTAATAAAAGTGGGGTTCAAAAATATTTGTTAAGATATGTTAAGAGTTTGTTAATTTTAAAGAGTGAATGTAAATAAAATAAATAAATATTTTAGTTTAATCAAAAATTTCAAGTCCAAAATTAAATTTTAAGTCCCAAAAAAAAATCTCAACATGTAAAAAAAAAAAAAAAAAATCCGTTGACCGGTCAACTGGCCGAACGTCCGGCCGGTCAACCCGTAACACAAAAAAACGCTTCCTTGCGCTAGCTAAAACGCTAGCCGCAATTAACAGCTGACTTAACAACTGACGCTAACAAAACCTACTAACACACTACTTAACACTTCCATTGTGGCATCCAAACATTACTGTAGCTAGCGAAAATTTGGCCACTGACACTAACACCACTACTAGCACGTCCATTGTGGATGCTCTAATGTTATGCCTCGATTGTACTTTAGGTGAAATTTCTTTCATTTAAGTTTGATACATAAAAAAAATATTAAAAAAAAAATTATATTAAACCAATGTTTTTAGATTAGATTGGACCAATCGATTCAATACTCGATTCAAACTCTTCAAAAAGCCGATGTCTTCTTAAAAAATCATTGTGTTTTTATGTTATTAAAATTGCAAATGTCATTAACCTCACTTTACTTTTATAATTTTTAATAGATACATATTTTATTTATGTTAATTATTAATTATTTATAATATAATTATGATATTACGGTTCAATTTCAATTCACCAAATGATTAACCACTAACTCTTTGATGTGATTTTTTTTTTTTTTTCGATTTGCTCAACGATCTAGGTTTCAAAACATTGCATTAATCATAAGAAAAAAATTATACTACATACAGAAAAGATTACACTCCATGAAAGTGAGATTTATTTTTCAACTATCTAACTAAAATGTAATATATTTTTTTCCCCTAATGTAAGGAGAATTCATGGTTAAGTAATTCACTTGTACTCTCTCTTATATTCCTTTCTGAACAAACATAGTAAACAAACTACTAGGGTTATGTGAGGTGCATGGGATCCGAGTTGGAATGGTGTGCATGTATATACTTAATGCACATATCTTACTTTACTTTTTGTTCTATTTGAGTCAAATTAATAGAGCCATCTCTCCTTTTAATCTTCTCATTGTGAGGCTATTTCATTAATAATTCTTAAACTTAAAATTTAAAGTAAATTTTACTA